GCGGCGGCGGCGTTGCGAGGCGGCGGCTGTGGGCCCGAGGTAAGGCGGACGTCGCGGACGCGGTTCCAAATCGGTTAAGGCAACGCAGGCTAGACCGTTGGGGTTTCCCTGAACTGTGGGTTCATAGGACTCGTGCTTGAAGTGCAAGATGCGAGACCTGCGTTTGTGCCCAGGCCCTCGGCCTCGCCTGGCTCCTGGGTCGTGGTTGCAGACTCGGACGGGGCCAAGTTGGCTGGGGACACGCCCTGTCCCCGATGGCTGCGCGTGCGTGGCGTGGGAGGAGACCCTTAATCCCAGCATCTGGGGCCGGATCTCACCAAAGCGTCGCGAGCAACGCAGACTGGGGGTAAACGTGGCGAGTGTTTCTGAACAAAAGGTTCTGTCCCCGACTGGACCGACACCGCCCGGTTGCGTGGAGGAAGCCCCTCGGAGCTCTTGCCACCTGCCGCGGTGCTTTTGGTCCCCGTCACGGGGACTTAGCTAGGGGAACTGCGGTCTGATCGATGATGAAGTCTATCCCGAAACTGATGACCTGAAGAAAAAAACATGTTACGGATTCGGCTTCTGAGGTGGAAGACCGCCAGCAACAGGCGGATAGCGCGGGGTTCGCAGGCCTGGGTGGCTGTCCTTTGGTAACTGAGGGTTCTGTTGCTCTTTTTACCGCCCTGTAGTGGCGCCCGAGCTGCAGGGCCGGACTGAGCCATGGCTCGCGGGGGACGGTGGCTCCCGAGGCCGAAGGGAGCCCTCGCCTGGGATGCTCGGGTAAGCGCTGCGGGTCTGGTTGGGACCGAGGCCGACCTGTCGGGGGCACAGTCGGGGCGTGCGGAGCGGCGGTCTCGAGCTGGGTGCTGTTTCTTTAGGTGCAGGGGGAGAACCGCAGGATTCGGGGAGAGGCGGCTCGGAAAGCCACTTGAGCCAAACCTGACGTCTGTGCCAGGTGTGTGTTGAAACGGTGTTTTGATTCTGGCAGAGGCATGCCTGTTAGCCCGCGTGCTGGGTCAGTGGGGAAAAGAATTCCTTTCTGTGATTAACAGTGACTCTGCCGGGGAACTGCTGATGTCGGACCAACAGTCAGTCTTCGGAGAACGTTGTGTGAGTGAAGCCCTCCGAGTCCCTGCTACTTGTCCCTAAGGTTTTGGTGCTTATCCTCGTGGCCCAGCTAACGGATTTTGGTCTGATCAATGATGAAACCTATCCCGAAACTGACGACCTGAAGAAAAAAACATGTTACGGATTCGGCTTCTGAGATGGAAGACCACTCTTCGCAGGAGGATAGCACATCCTTGATTGGCCTGGCTTTTTAGCTTGCATATAACTGAGGGGGGGTCTTAATATTTTTATCGACTTTCAAAGGGGTTTATAGCTCACAGTATTCTTTCCCTCTGCCAGCAGTGAGGGGCCGCTGTCCATCCAAAGTCCATTTTGCTGTGAAGTTACTGCTGTGACCCATTTCTGTGAGTTGATTTTTGTTTGATTTCTGGGCAATTGGGATAGCTAATCCTTGGTCTCATTTAAGATGATCATTTCCCAAACCTGAATTTCTGTTGAAAAAGCCCTAGAGGAATATGGCTTCTGAGGGATCACTAAAGAGCATAAATGTTTACTTAACAGTAATTTAGTAAAAAAATGATAGTTTAGCTTATCTTTGTTTTCTTTTTCTAGAGCTACAGCCAAAGGATACACTTATGAAAAGGGTGATTTGGAAAACATGGTTTTGTGGACCTGGAAAGAGAAAAGCATTTCGAGTCAAGGCGAAGTGTTGGTTTTTTAATGTGTGATGGCGGGCACACTAGTGCACAATTTCCCCAAGTCCCCTTGATCACTTATTTGGAAATAAAAATAGATAACTATAATAAAAGATGAGTGAAAGATACTGTTTATTAAGTGAGGTGTGAAACGTTGCCTTTGAGTGGATACAGTATTCCAGGTGTTTCTGGATTCCTATGGAGGTAAGAATCCTGACAGCCTAGTAGAAGTGAGAAACGAAGTGATCAGTCTGATAACAGTGTTCACTCCCTATAAATTTGAAAGTATGCTTAGGCTGAAAATAGGATAGGAATGAAGAAACTGAAAAAGAAAGCTGGATACTTAGGACAATTAGAAAGTTGGGTGTGATGACTGGTCTTAACCCATGGTGATTTCTGTGCCTAATGAAAACTTTCATAAAGAGGTATATGATAAAATTTGTTATAAAAAGTTACGGGCCTCATGCATTTAAATTTCAAGGTGACGATTCAAGTATGTAGATGCTATGGTGGGAGTTGATCTTGATTCAACATTAATCCCCTTAAATAGTTTAATATGCTACTGCCAAGTAACATGCCCGGATAGTAATTAATATCAACTGCATTTTATTCCAAAGGTGATTTTTACATATTTCTGGCACATCCTTGATTTTCATAGCTATTTTGACATGCATGAACTAACAGATCCCTAAAATTTCCTTTGTCCAGTTCTACTTGAGAAGTCCTAACTAGTTTAATCCATTAAGATTCAAAGTCTTAAATCTTTGCCTGTACATGTTTGTACAGCAAATAATAACTGAATAATGAGAGACTAGGATCTGAGCAAAACCAGAATTGGGGAGCATACCCTTTTGTTAAAGTTGGCAAACATCAAATACAATGTTATGAAACAAGCCAAATTTGTTTTTAAGCCCTCTGACCTCTTTTCATGCAGTTACTTTACTTGTCAAGCTTAAAATTATTTACTTTGTAAATTTGTGTGATCCAGGTTAAATTGGTAATACATAGAATACTGTGGAATAAAATTTAATCAAATACTAGTATGGTTCAGTGGTACAGTAGAACAACCTTTCACTCAAGTGAAAACTTGAGTTCTGTGTTTTTTGGACCCCACATAGGGGTGCTCTGGACTTCCTGGCTCTGCTCAGGGATCATTCCTGGTGACCTGTCCTCATCCTTGGAAGCTACTTCTACTTTGGTTTTAAAGAGGTCACTTCTCAGCAATGCTTAGACTGATGCCAGGGGTGGAATCCTAGCTCTCCTACCAGCAGAACTGTAGTCCTTTGAGCTGTCACTCTCGCCCTGATGAAAGTATGATGTTCCTTGTTAGAAGAGACTAATGAAATTAGCATTCAGAATTTGGAAATAGAGGAATTTCCAAATCTAATGAACTATAGTAATTGGTAAATAAGTGAGAAATCTATTGATTCCTACTGAGTGAAAAAAAGATTGATTCTTTTTTTCCTTAATAGAAGGGATCATCAATAAAGAGATTTCTCACCTAATGGGAAAATTTTTTTGCTTTTTGGGTTATACTGGGTGATGCTCAGGAGTTACTCCTGGCTCTGCACTTAGTAATTGCCCCTGGCAGTGCTCAAGGGATGCCAGGGATCAAACCCAGGTTAGCCACCCTATCTGCTGTACTATATATCACTCTAGCCCCCAACATTTTTGCAAAATATGAGCTAATAATGATCAGCAGTGGCTTGGAACATTAAAGTTAAAAAAGATCCTGGAGAGATAGTACAGTGCATAGGCTTCTTGCCTTGCACATAGCTGACCCAGGTTTGACCTGTGCCCTAAGATTTAATAATGGTTCCCTAAGGACCTCCAGTGATCCTTGAGCACAGAGCCAGGAGTAAGCCCTCTAAATATTAAAATTAAGGCTGAAAATAGCAGAAAAGGGAGCCTGTAATCCCTTTTCTTGTGGTTATGTGGTGTCAGAGGGGTCACACAGTTTTGTAGTTGTCTGGAGTCACATTCTGGACTTAATGCAGACAAGTCCAGAGCTCTGCCTCTACCTGGACCATATGTAGTGTGGGGGATTCCAATGGGATGGCTGCAGGCAAAGCAAATGCCTTACCTCCTTTATAATATTTCTGGCCCTGGTTCTTTTGTTTGGTTGGTTGGTTGGTTTTTTTTTTTTTTGGTGTGGGGGATAAGTTGGGGATGTTGGCATTCAGTGGTAATTCCTTCTGGCTCTATGTGTGAGAATTAGAGGACCATGTGGTGCTGAGGATAGAAATTAGGCCTTCTATTTGCAAAGCATGCACTCTAACTTGCTAGTTGAACTATCCCTCTGGCTCTCACATGTTTGTTTTAAGACCACACCTGGTGGCCTTCAGGGCTTATTGCTGGCTCGTACTCAGGGATCACTCAGGGCGGACTTTGGAGACCATACGGGGTGGTGGGAATTGAATCCAGGTCAGCTGTGTCCAAGACAAGTGCCCTTCTTGCTGTACTATCTCACGCTGATTTTTAATGATACACCTATCAGACTTACATAATACTACCGTGCACTTTACTTCATGTTTTAGATACATAAATACTAGATATAATGTACTAAACCCAGAAAATTGTGTGTTCATATTAGGCTGCTCTTCATCAATCCTTATATAGCATGAATGAATAGAATTGTAAACATTAAGTCAGAATTGTAAATATTAAGTCTGCTTTAAAGTTGTCTGAGCCTTGCCAAGTTTGCCCCAGATTGTTTTCTATATCAAAGATGTTGAAGGATGAGGCCAGAGAGAGCATGGTGAGTAAGGTGTTTGCCGTATGGCCTCTTGAGCCTGCCAGGAGTGATCCCTGAGCACAGAGATAGGAGTAAGACCTGAGCACTACTGGATGTGCCCATGACCCTCATCCGCCCAAGAAAGATTGGTTCAAGGGAGAAGATCTGAAATCCAGCCTACACACTGCCTGACCAGCTTTGCCCCTTGATGTGGGGCACTGTATTACCGTCAGGCCAAGGAATATACTCGCCCACGCTGGGCCTCTAGCTCTGTAAGAGTATGTATACATTCCCAAATGCATGCAAATCATCTCATGATCTTGTGAAACTGTTAAATCTGGTAGGTTGGTCTAGGGTGAGATTCAAGAGCACCTACACTTCTGAAAGTTTCCACATGAAACCTGTGATGATCCATCCATGAGCTACATTTTATTTATTTATTTATTTATTTTTACATTTTTTTTTCTTTTTTTATTAGTGAAAAACCATGAGGTACAGTTATAGGCTTACAAATTTTGTGCTTGGGTTTCAGTTATACAATGATCAAGTCCCCATCCCTCCACCAGTGCCCGTCATCCATCCCCATGGGTCCCAGCATCCCCCCCCCCCTCATCCCCCCCGCCCCGTCCCATCCTGCCTCTGTGGCAGGGTATTCCCCCCTGTTCTCTCTCTCTTCTTTTGGGTACTGTGTTTTGCAAGAGAGGCTTTGAGTGGCAATCATGTTTGGTCTATCGACTACCTTCAGCATGCTTCTCCCACCCTGGGAGGGCCCTCACAATACCCTTCATTTGGTACTCTCTTCTCTATCTGAGCTTCCTTTTCACCTAGAGTCTGTGGCTGGCCTTACATTCATGGAGCAAAATTCCTGGTACTAATCTCAGCCATTCCTGTGTGTCACTCTCCCTTTTTGTTACTTTATGTTCCCCAGATGAATGCAATCTTTCTGTGTCTATCCCGCTCTTTCTGACTCATTTCGCTTAACATGATACTTTCCATGTAGTACCACTTGTATGTAAATTTCATAACTTCATCTTTTCTAACAGCTACATAGTACTCCATTGTGTATATGTACCAAAGTTTCTTTAACCAGTCATCTGTTCTTGGGCACTCAGGTTTTTTCCAGATTCTGGCTATTGTAAAGAGTGCTGCAATGAACAAACAATTGCAGATGTCACTTTGACTATACCTTTTTGCCTCTCTGGGATATATTCCCAGGAGTGCTATAGCTGGGTCAAATGGCAGATCAAATTCTAATTTTTTGAGAATCGTCCATACTGTTTTCCAAAAGGGTTGGACCAGCCGGCATTCCCACCAGCAGTGAAGGAGGGTCCCTTTCTCGCCACATCCGCGCCAGCACCGGTTGCTTTTGTTCTTGTGGATGTGGGCCAGTCTCTGTGGTGTGAAATGATATCTCATTGTGGTTTTGATCTGCATCTCTCTGATGATTAGTGATGTAGAGCATTTTCCATGAGCTACATTTTAAATGGCAAGACTTAGAGGCTTCCTCAGGCCTAACCACTCTCATTCAGAAACTCACCTGGTTAGGTAACCAGGACCACAGAATTCCTGTCAGAACAAATCTGAACTTATTTGCTGTTAGGGAAGGCAATGATGAATAGATCTTGGATGGGTTAGAATAGTGACATGTATATGAACAAGGTACAGCTTGGTAGGGGGTTTTGAGAGTGAGAAGAGAAGGGCAGTAGGCTGGAAGTAATACGCCAGTATTGAATACTGAGTCCTAGAATTTAGAATTTGAGCTTTAGGGCTGGAGAGATAGTATAGTGGGGAGTGTGTTTGCCTTGCACGCAGCTGACTGGTTTTGATCCCCGATCCCCGGCATCCCATATGGTCCCCCAAGCACTGCCAGGAGTAATTCCTGAGCACAGAGTCAGGAGTAACTCCTGAGCGTTGCCGGGTGTGACTCAAAGAGCCAACAAAAGAAAAAGAATGTTAACTTTGTCTTTTAGACCATTAGAAAGTTTTATGTGTCAGGTTAGATAGGTAGTTCAACAGGCTGAGGACAGGCTTTGATTGCTAAAAGATAGTTCAATCCCCAGCATTGCATTGTTCCCTGAGTACAGCCAGAAGTGACAGAGTTTCAAGCAGGAAGTTGCGATGAGCACCAACAGGTGTGTCGTCATCCCCCCATCTCCCCCCAAATACACACACACAAATAAGACAAAAAAGGTTGTATGTATCAAGGTAGAAAAACACATTTTGGTGTGTTTGTTTCTGTTTTGAGCCACAAATCCTGGAGTGCTCAGGGCTTCTTCCTGGCTCTGTAACTTAGGGTCACTTCTGGCAGAGCTCAGAGAACCATCTGGGGATCTGGGGATTGAACCAGAGTTGACCACGTGACAGGCAAGTACTTTACCC